CACAATGATCCGTACTCGGTCCGTATCTTTTCTAGCATTCATAATCGACCTGGAGAAAAGGCATTATTATTCGCTGATGACGCTAAAACATGGAGAACGGCAAAGTATCCTGAAGATTATGATGCCTTGTAGGAAACTCTTGAAGCAGCTTATCGATGATCCATCATTAATGAAAATACAATGAAATGTAATGAAAAATGCAAGGTTATATCGCTGCCCCACAGGGGTCGCTTTCATACTTACTTGGAACTCAGCCATTCCCGCGTTCTCCAAACGAAACGGACCTGGGAGTTGTCGTTCGTGAGGATCTAGGATTTTCCTCGCATTGCGCAAGAGCGTCATCGAAGACTATAAAACACGTTGGATTGCTAAAACTTGTCTTCGGATCCTTCAGAACAGACCTATAGCCTGGTTTATTATCAGCATACACTAGACCACACAGAGAGTATGCTATCCAGGCTTGGAATCCATGGCTGGTTCGCGACCAAAAGGCACTCGAACGTCCGCACAGAAGAGCAACCAAAATGATCAAAGGGTTACAATTTAGACCTACGGTGAAAGGTTGTGAATTCTCGGACTCTATTCATCTGAATACCGTCGAATACTGGGAGGCATGATCCTCGATTATCAAATACTACATCAACCTAAACATCCATGTAGTACTCTACTAAAACTATCCAGGAATGGTTACCTCCGAGGACATCCGTTTAAACTTCTGCTTCAAAGGAGTCGGCTAGACTGCAGGCATCAAACTTTCAGCCTTAAATACCTGGAACTCTCTTCCACCTCAAGTTGTTTGTGCACCTACCATCGATTCATTTAAGTCACGACTGGATGAATCATTGAACCATTTAACTTTTCAGTACCCGTGAGTGAACGTCAGAATTTGCTGTTCCATTGTATTACCAACCGAACCCAGTGTGTACAGACCCTATGGGATTCCATCGGCATCAGTTTGCAATTTGCCCGTAATAAAAATTTCAATTTGAATTCGGATTCGGAACCTATCCTCGTCCTGTGCCGGCTCGAAAATCACACGATCAATCGGATTGATTTATCGATCGGTCGAATGGTTCAGCCGCAACAAGGGACGTGGTGCTTGCCCAGCAAACCCGAGCAAGAAACCACACCTTGTTTACAGGCGTAAGTTTCAGGCAGGCCCAGTGAACTTCGACTGTGTGACAGGAGTGCCACTAGCACACGGATGGAGTGGACGTAACCTCAAGAGCATTGCAATACGTACAAGCCGGTAATCAGACAATCTCGTGTTGGGGAGAGGGATTTTAAGCGCCGTATATCGCGTAATATGAACCAATCAGACCACAGAAAGGTTCAGAGTGAATTTACTTGTGTAAGGTCACGGGTGAGAGGGACGAGACGATGGTAAACGATGGAGCAATTGCACATTTATTTTTCGTGTGAATATGGGAGAAAGTAAGACTACGTACAAGAGACAATGAAATATAACTAAAACGACAACAGTAAGTCAATGGCGATTCAATGCGTCTTCAGGCATTTACAGATACGAACGTATTCAAATGCGAATTACGTTTGAATAGCGGTTAGTCAGTGAACCGGAATAAATTTGCGAAAAGTAATTCACCAAATGATAAACAAAGGAAATTTCTAATAAAACAGGATAAGAAAAAGAACTGGAGAGAGCGAGCCAGAAGTCATCTATGCATCGTTCTGTTGAGCTTGACTTTTGACGTCACGGTCAGATTTATTAGCTAAGTCCATTGAACGCCATGCAGCTGGAGTGCTTCGGCCAGTTATTTTTACGATAAACGCAGCGGTGTTTGGCAGTCTAATTGTAACTACTTCCGCTATTGATAACTGGTATTGTTGTACGCGCTTTGACCTAGTCGATAGTATTCGGCAGTACTTGCGCTTCCTGTCATGGTAATGCAGCCGGTGCTAATCCAGGACCGTTTGTGTTCTTTCTTCATCGGCGAGAAACGCATCGTTTTGCAACTTACTTGGTGAGATGAAGATAATCAGTTTATCTTGGAGATTCGTGCGTGGTACTGGCCTGATTTTGAATGTCACCNGAGGCGCAACTCAATAAGTGCAGGCATTCGTCTTTTCTAGTTGTCGTTTGGGTAGCTGGTTACTGGCGTTGCTTTGTAAGGTAACCGTAAGAGCAACAGTTATTGCTTCTTGGGAAGTTGTTCAAGGTTCCCTTGTTTAAAACATGTGCCTGATTTTCTANATTTCTTCCTCCTTTGTTTTTTTCGGGTAGATATGGTGGTCTCTAGCTGCCAGAAATTGTACAAAAGTTCTCGAGTACTAGATGGGAACAAATCGGTGAAAATGTGTTGATCTCTCCAAATCCGTTTGCGCGAGGTAAAGCAATAAATTTTTAATCTGTCGCTTTGTTTAGCTTTACGTTGAGATCACGGAATTTGTTTTTTCCGCCTCCAATTCAAATGTAAAATTATTAGTACATTGGGCTTAGTTGATAGATTCCTGTATTAGGCTGCATGAAACGTTTTCGTTGAAAAAGGGTGAAAGGATCGTCAACATAACCTTTGTGCGGCGAAATGTTTGAAAAATGTACCACAGTTGATCTTCCAGTTCAGAGAAAAATAGTTCGTCCAGCAGTTGGCTTAAGGGTGACCCCATGAGTACACGGTTTCGCAGTTAAATAAGAATTGAACATTGAAGGTGCGTTACACAAGGAGCTCCTTCAGGGTTACCGTTGGGATGTAAATGTGTATATTATAATTATTGATGAACTGGAATAATAGAAACCTGTTTACTTATCCATTCCCTTCAAAGGTTGCACGTTTTCCGAAATGACAAGTAGGCATCTTCAGACTGCTGTCAGAAATACATATTATACCGCTGATTTGTTTGTGTTTTACACTTCCAAACCGGTTTTCGCATTGCAGATAAAAGACAAGCTACCGGTGGAAATAGCCTCATTCTGCATTGACCAATTTGTGTTTTCCTGGGAACCAGTTACATTGGTTGTACCATCCGCCGCTTGGTCGAACGCATTCAAGAACACCACTCCCAGCTTGCTTAGTTGAGGATTGATGAGAACAAGGGCGGACGGTAATCATACCTCATTTGGTCGAAACCGAAACCGGGGTGAGATCAATGTAGGTGAAGCATCGCTCACTGTCAACAGCCGAAGGGATCGCGATTCGGTTGAACAACCCCCTTGTGCGTTCAAAAACAGTCAATTGGAGCTCTGGATTTACCATGGCAAACCATAAACTCTAAAGTGATATAAAGCCGGTTATCAAATGAGTGTCAAATCGTTTAATTGTTTGATTCATTAGATAGTACAAATGATATTTGCAAAATGATTTACACTCTCATACACGCCTTGCTGTATAATCTATAGTATTCCTACACACGCAACCAAACACAGACATTATTTACGGTTTTTTTCTGTTTTATTGAAATATGTGGTTTCGTGATCTATAAAAGAATGCTGTATTCGTTATTTCTTTGGCATCCGCGTTTCGGATAAATTGGACATAGTCAAAAATATGTTTTCGACGAAGTTACGAAAAACAAGGATGTTCGCATTGCAGTGATGTTCGGATTACCAAATGTGAATTTTCCATGACCACGCTAATAATCCATGGTGCTGTGAATTAAGGTCACAGAAGCAGTTCAAAGTGGGATGGGTAACAGACGATCATTGCACAAAGGCCCCTCTTGACAAAGGATAGAGTGAGACAGGGATAACCGTCACTAAACTCCGTCATCTGATTCCACACATTTGGAATAACATTTCATGTAGAATTTCGTTGCATTTAAAACAAATGAGTGAATGAATTTCAAACTGAAAATCTAGGAATCACCACAACGGTGTTACTCGTGTTGGAGTTCTTCAGCAGTTCGATTCTGTCGATTAATCTTGGCATTGAGCCCAAAACTCCAAATGGGTAGAACAGAACCATACTGTTCTCTAGGCCACCGAGCACAACCCAACTTTGCAAGCATCAAACCTCGCTGACCACATCAGGATAGAGATTTTGGATTCGGATTGGAAATTGCTTTTTATTTTGTACGGCCATTGTACTGCCGTTTGGATAGACAGATTACCCTGACGGTCTCATTCAAATTGTATGTGGTGGCCCGGTGGTAAGGTCACCAAATTATTACCCCGGGGACGTGTGATCAAATCCCACCAGCACCGCCTAAATTTCCCCATTGTGTGTTGTATGGTAGCTCATTAAGTGGCTTCTTCCTTCATCCGGAAATTGTATCATTTTATATCCAATACAAATAAGTTAATATGGAGAAGAAAGAAAGAATTGTTTACCAGTTTCCTTAAAGTTTTTAACTAAAAATAATAGTGTTATTCTCATCTCTGTAGAATACACAAAAGTCAATTTCCGAGAAGCAGTTAACATGTTGATTCTCATCTTCATGGTCCATAACAAAAATGGTATTGTCTCTCCGTGTACACTTCCAGCGATGGCAAATTACTTTGTTCATTTAACGAAAGCACTTCTAAGACTGGCTGGTTCAAATCCTCGGTTTCCTACAGCGCGCGCCCACAGACCTTTTGGCGTATACAGAGAAAATAACATCTGCAGTTATCTTGGCAAACTGAGCTATGCTACTTGCATGTGGTACTCATGAACACTGGTAAAAAGAATGCTAGTGTTCGTTGAATGTGAAGATGTCACCGACTTAGTCAAATCGAATATAATTCGTTCACGGTGAACTTTGTTTTCGTTAATTGTGGTGACTTTGTATATGAATAGTGAACAGCCGGAACTTAGATCTAGATCCCAGATGATGGATGTTTTCGTGATAATCGTAGGACAACCGAAAAGTGCTATCATGCTATCATATCCAGAAGACAGAACGAGTGTGATTTGTTTTTTTCTCGGTTCATGATACCAAACTGAACGGTGAATTGTACTGACAACATGGTTCTTGTGCGAAGAAGTGAACTACTTGGCATACTATAAAACGCTTCGGTACACTGCATTCAGCTGTGTGGTCCGATTGTATTCCAAACGGTAACAATGCAAATGTTGATTTCGTTTCTCGCAATCTGCCTGTACGCGACCACTACCATGGCCATCTCAGCCGAGGACAAGACGCTGCTGCTGTTGCTACACAATACGTACAGAGCGAAACTTCTGAACTGTGGGGTGTCCAAACAACCACCAGCTACCGTAATGCCCAAAATGGTAAGCGATTTTAAATGAATTGTTCACTTGCTGTTTAGTCAGTACTATGAGGACTGTTGATTTCTTACGTAAATTTAATCACACATAATCATACATACATGGTACCATACGATACAATATGGAACAGGTCATTCGTTCCATGCTATCTGCTTTTTCCTAATTTTCATAGGTATGGAACGATCAACTTTCAAAAAAAGCGCAACAGTTGAGTGATAAATGCATAGCTGGTCACGACAAGAACGAGGAGAGGTTGGTGGCACCGTTCACTTGGGTCGGACAAAACTTTGCCAGTAATCCATCAGTGTCAAAGTAAGTCCTTCAAACTGCCTACTCTTTGCGCATAGATTCATGTAGCCGGGTTCGGCGCAATTCACATTTATACATTTGTCTCTCTGCCTGCTTATTATTTCCCTGATATGTTTCCTGCAATTCTCAGCGGATTCTACGATTGGGTTAACGAAAGTACGCTTTATAACTATTGGCAAAATACGTGCAACGGTGTTTGTGGTCACTACACTCAGGTGAGTGATGAATGTTTGCAGGTGGACTAGAGCTACGATGAATAGATCTTACTATATACATACCAGTCATAGTCGGCTCAAAGCATTCTATGCATATTCATCACAGTAATCTCGACCGTTGCTCTATTCAACCCCATCATTTCTGCACGCACACTAAGCGAACACATTCGCTTGCGTTTCACACATGTCCATCCATGTTTGTATCTGATGGCAATTGTATATCTTTGACATTCAATTTCGTTCAGTTTCGCAACGCATCAGACTTCGCTGATTCTGTCTATACTCCTTCCATTGGCAGGTTGTTTGGGCAGACAGCACGCAATTGGGATGCGGTGTAACCAAATGCTCGGGAAGCGACTTTCTATATGGATATTCGATTGTGTGTAACTACGGTCCAGGGTGAGCACATTCACATTAGTACTTCTGGTTTCACTTATTGTCAATATATCTACACATTCGTAAGTATATAAATCTATATAGAATGGTTTTTCACCAAAAAGGGTTTTAGAATCCGCCGTCATCCGGAGTTTTGTAATTCATCACGTGAATTCGTAGATGTTCTGGCAACGTGAACACTGCATACTGAATTTGCATCGTTCCCTATACACATATTGGTTAATGTCAAAATGTTTATTTTACAAAATTTCCTAAGTATTTGAGAGATCCCACGATGGATTCGTGTGATCATATGACCGATTCGGTCAATGTCGCTTACGTTGGCTTACTTTGGCTTACATTAGCTACAGTAGCAGTTAGTGTGAGAGAGGACCAGTCTTTAGCGCACTCGGTCAGATTCTTTGAGGTGGTTTAATGTAAAGGAGATACATGTACATTTGTGCTTTTCCTTGATCACCATATTTGATTATTTTGATGTTGCAGCCTCATCCCGGTCACTTCTTATTTTTAGCGGTAATTATAATAATCAAAAGCCCTACAAGGCCGACACTGGGAGATGGTGCAAAAAATAAGTACGTTTCCCACAGTTGATTACTGTATAAACCCGTAGTAAATGGGATTTGAGGTATTCCGTTGTCCTAATGTGATGCATTGCTTGGGAAGGACATGCGATGTGAATAACCTTATCAATGTTTTGTCATTAGTGAGTGAGCATTAAAACAAAAAAATCTCTTGTTTCGTATTTCAGTCAACGTTCCTTGAACCTGCAAAAAAACGAATATCCAACCGCACCTTACATAAGTGTACATTATCTATATTAATGACGAAATACAAGTCAAATTTTACTATGAATCCTTCTTTTCTTTTTGTCTTCTTTGGTTATAGTTTTCATCGGTTTTGTACATTTTAATTCAACTTGAAAGCACATCGAATACCTTGAAATTAACGCAAATGCTCCAGCTGGTTGACAATCAAGGTGAGTGGGTAGAATGCTTTTGCCTGTGAGGTCCCCGGTTTGATCCCCGTTGCGTCGATGGATTCACACTGCTGATGAAAACGAACGAGGTCGAAACAGCGGTCCAGTGCTTCCTAGCTCTTCAGTTCATTTGCTATACACACGACGAATTCATCTTTGGAATATATTTTTTGTCATAAATGCTACAAAATAACACCCGTGGTTTTTACACAAAAGTCAAAGTCAAAGTCGAAGTTTTATTATAGGAATTACTTACCAGCTCATGCTTCTATTGTCCCCATAGGATATTCACACCTTTGAATTGTTTCCCGGAGTAAAAATTACATAGATTTTTAAGTAAGAAATAACAGTTAATATAGTCTTTAACGAATTTACATTTGCTTTTAGTGGTGTAGGAATGTGAGATGTAGCAGGGTTCGACCTTTGCAAAAGTGTTATCAGTTCTGACTAGTTCAGATGAGGCGGACAGGTTTTTGTGTGGTTTTGTATACTCCAGTGAGTTCAGTTTCAGTTTGACTTTGTCCAACCAATAACCATGCACTATCGTGCACCGGTTTTGGTTGCTGCCCAGTTGGATGAAGAATAGGAGAAAACAGGAAAGTTGAAAGTAGAGTCGAACAGAAACTGGAGAATTATAGTGGTCTAATGTTGCGAGGAAACTGAGATGCAACAACGCCACTGTGTACGACACCCAGCCATATCACTCGGGGTCTCTCACCATCGGTTGCAATTACCCCGAGGTTCCCATCCGGGGAGCCTAATGGGACCTGTGACAAAGTCCCCTGGTCAAGGTTTTCATGCCCTCGTGCCAGGTCTTGGCTTGATCACCCTTGGCTTTATTCCACCCATTACCTGCCTCGGCGAACATCGCTCGCCGTGGCAACCTATCTAGTGACATGCGTAGCACATGCCCCGACCAACGCAATCTATGGAGATCGACCATTTGCTCCAACGGGTGACCGTGGTTACCCAAAACGCTGAGCCTACCCTCAGCATTACTCGTCCGACTGCCCCACCAGATTCGTACAATGCTGCGTAGACAGCGGTGTTTAAACACCGACGGTCTATCTTTGTCCTGATTTCTTAATGGCTAAGGTTCTGCACCGTATAGCGGAACTGGCCGAACAGCCGCGGCATACACTCGACCCTTCACAGAGAACCGGATGACATGACGGTGCCACAGATGTCTCAAATTATCAAATGCTATCCGAGAATTCTGTATGGCAGCTGACACTTCATCCGTGATGCGTCCACCGGGTGAGATGTAGCTGCCC